TTTGAAAGGGCTAAGAACGGCAGAGTTACCACATGTGAAAATTTTCGGGAAGCAATGCCTAGAATGTTGACACGGCCAAGGGAAGACTTTGAAAGAAAAAGTTATTGAAGAAAAATGCTAAGGAAGGATGCGGTAGGCCATTGGAATAGCTTGACCGACATTGATTAAGACCGAATCGGCAAAGCCGACGGCCCATCAAGTGAGTGGAAATTCCTTAAGGTAGATTACGAGAATAATCTGGATCGATGGAGATGGGGCTTAAGTTGAGTGACCGCAAGACCTTGGGTTGGTCGTGGTCTAGTCGAGACGGCCGGGGAAGGATTTAAGATTTTTCTTACAAGAGTACGGCCTTGGAAAAATTCAACTTGGACTGGACTAAGGAAGTCCTAGGACGAGATTTGGTCGAAGGAAATCTGAAATCTACTGAGGGAATATAGTTTTGGATCGAGGAGAAACTCTGCGGGTAGAGTTTTACGCATTGGGGTCAAAAAACATGTTGTGGGTCGAGCCGGATCGTGTCGCGGGTAAGATAGGGCAGTGTCGCGACTCGAGACAGTGTGTCGGGGGTCGAATGCGGGTAAGACAGGGCGCGTCGTAGGGTTTATGTCCGACATGTGCTAGTTCACTGGGTAACAGGGACTGCTGACACGTGTCCATCAGGTGTCAGACACGTATCAGACGGGTGACAGACACGCGGCAGAACTGTCTCTACATGTCCAAAACCCTAAATGACCGAGACCCCTTACCCCCAGCCTACAAATACCGACCCATGAACTGTTTTTCTCGATCATCTTTGTAGTCTTTACCCAAACTCTGTCAATTTTCATTTAGATCGAGTTTTGAGAAAACGTATCGAAGAAGATCAATCCGCGGGTAGCTAGGGGTAACGCGTGTCGGTAAGACTTGGTGTTTTCCGTAAATTCTTTACTCTTTTCTAGATTGATCCGATCTTTAAGTTAAGAAAGTATTTTCTTAGCTTCAGATCAATTCGTTTCCAAGGGGAATGAGTCCGTTCGGTGATAAAGACTAGTCACCGCATATACTCTGTGAGTGAGCGTTCGAGTGTTGATGAGTCGAACACCCGATAAATTTATATGTCTTGCATGCTTAATTTAATTTAGCGGTAGCATTGCATCACGAACGTTTGAGCTTGATTGTTGTCGTTAGTACGTACAAGCATGATTAGGCCTATGAGTTGGTTGCGGTAGGATGATAAACTGCATGCTATGGCGTAGTTATGGAAATTGTTCGTACATAGTGAATTACTATCGTTTTGCATGCTAATTAATTAAAGTGGGACTTATATGCATTTTCAGTAGTTACAT